GACAGAGAAGTATGGTGGTGAATTCATTGTCTATAGTCATGAACCATAAGATTCTAGGTCCATTCTATAACACTTGGTATGTCATGAATATTCCACAAGGGTTGAAATTGGCCAAGACAGTCAACCACAGTCTACAGACAACATGCTAGTTGGTCTCAAGGTGAAACAACAGTCATGTTGGCAGTTGACTTAAGTGAGCACTCAGGTAGCACAGCATGCATAACTAGTAGGGGTGTGCCCTGGTTCTATGATGATATTGCAAACTGGTTCTAAAACCAAACTGCAACTGCAACTGCAAAGAATTTGACCCTATGGAAATGTAATGTTGTGGATGCATTCATATAATAATGATACACTCCCAAGCATTTGTAAATTGATTACAACAGCTAGTAATACAAACTTGTTTGAACTGTTCCAGAACCAAACTGTGGTTCAGTTTGGTTCAGATTTACTTATTATAACCCAGCTAATAGGCACTTCCTGAGTTGCACTTTAGTGTTAATACACCTAGTAGTAACACTAAAGGACAACTCCACAGTCATGTGGTGTGAAATAGAGCACAGATTGAAGAGAAACTAAGTGAAATAACCACAACATTATTATTGTGGTTCTCAACCAAACTGAACCATGACACCCCTAAGTTATTATTATCAGCTTTGGGTATGACTGCAGGTAGCACAGTGGATACAAGGGGGGGGGGGGTGATTGTGGTGCATGAATGCAACTGACCAGTGAGGCTCAAACAATGACAGATTTTCATTGGGATAAGATTGTACTGAAGAATTACTGGTTGGTAGCATTGATTGACATGCACATTATGTAATGAGGGTGCTGGCTTTGACTGAATGCCTGTCTGGAATATCTAATAGTATACCACATTTACATAAATGGGTGCTCACAGGGGAGTGGTCAACCAGATCAATTCATAGGCAGTTTTATTTGCATCTGACTGTTTTATCCACTTCTGTGTTGTGGTAGTGTTGTGTTTTTACCAACCCTACAGCACCAGGCTCCCTTCACTTCATTCACTTGAGTTGACATCTCATTGTGCTTTGCACCAATGCTACATTGCCTTGTATTGCTGGTTGTAAGGCCTGGATAGGCTGTGCATGCTTTTCCCTTTTTTGTTCATTAAAGTAATCTTGTATATACATGTAATTTGACTAAGTTATTGTAATAGCATGCACATGTATATGCCAACTTTGGTGTACATTCATACATGTAAATAAAGTGGTGCAGGGTGTAGAAAGGCTCTTAAGCCTAACTACTCCCCTGTTGAAATTACAGCTTATTACAGCATATATTCTTGACAGACTGGGAACCAGGAAACCCACATGAGTGAGCTACATGCTTTGGGTAGATACTACCCATCATTACCAACCTTACAGTTTTTTTATGCTTGGTGAGTTCTTTTCAACTTTGCTGCTTCTTGATTGAGGTCGATATGTGCCAATCTCAAACCTGCCAGACCTTTGAATGAGACCTAGAAGGGTAGCTGGGACACCCCTGACACTATTACCCTGACTTGGCAATCCTAGCCTCTCATGCAGTGAGGGGTGAAGTGTGCAATGGGGCTTGTTTTGGCCTGCACAGACTTGTCTCCACTACATTGATGACAGACATTGGGCCCATTCTGATGGTCCCAACCTTAATTCCTTCACCCTCAGAGTTGCAACTTTGAAGCTCAATGCTTTGGAGTCACCAGAGTTGTCCTCTGACTCATCCTCTGGTGTATGGGTGACTTCCATGGCAACCATGTGCATCAAACTTCAAACTGATTTTTTCAAAATTGGATTGTGGTCAGTGTTAAAAAAGATGTTGATTCCAACATCATAAAGTATTTTGGGATTTATTCAGAAATAACAAAGAATATTAGGATTCTGAAACCAGGGAGCTACAAAACTACACTAGTTGTACAGCTTCCTGGTGCCACATTAGCCTCTAAAGTGTTGTGGCAGGAATTTGCATCCAGATAGTACCAAGATATGAAAGTTGTCTATCTTTGTTACAGAGTTGGGTTTTGGAAGGCCCACTCTGACCTGTTCTTATAGACAGGAGCTTGCCTCATGGGAACAGGGTGGTTTGATCTCTGAGACTGCAATTGATTCACCTGAGTAATCATCAATATATGTATGATGTACATGTTGATCCATGTTGTGAGGTTTGATTTGCCAAATAGCATGTTTTGTCTAAGAAACTTGAAGACCATAAATGATGGGGACAGGTGTCAATAGGTCATAAGGGCTGTGGACTAGATGGAGAATATATGCTCATGGGTACTTGGCACTTGAGTGAGCATACCAGATTTAGGCCAAGGACATCATTATCAGGTACTTTGGTGCCCATGGGGGCATGCATACTGGTAACACAGTTGTTGATGTCTCCCAAAGCGAGTCATCCTGTAGTGGGTTGATGGGTACTTGGCACCCACAAGGGCATACCAGTGACATGAGTGGTGACAACTCCTTGAGGGAGTCATCCAGGGGTAGTGTTATGGGGATGGGGGGGAATCCCCATTCCTCGATCCATTCTTATAGCGGGATGACGAACGTCATATCTAGTCTGTACCATAATGGGATATGTAATCGATGAGTGATCCCAGTCTTGCATGGGAGTGGACGATCGAATTCCCATCGATCGTGATTGGTGATGTAGTGAGCTATTAAGGAATTGATGGTAGGTAGTCAGAGACATCAGGACAGATGGGTCAGCCACGGGTACTTGGCGCTCCTCAATGGAGTGTACCGTGTGCGAGGTCGTGACTCGTGAGGTGGGTGAGAACTTTGTATAACTGCCATCGGGTACTTGGCATTCGCAGTGCAAACGTACCGGTAGCGGGTTGATATCATGAGCATGCAATGAGGATTGACTAACGGGGCCTTCGGTGACTTGGCGTTCCCAAAGGGAATGTACCGTTGGCGGGGGAATATGATGACTGATGAAGGAGGGAACAGATGGTGGATGGGTGGCTACTTGGCGTTCGCATAGTGAACATGCCAGCATCATGGGAAAGTGGACCTCAGAGTATTCACGATCTCCAAGATTGTGATGTGACCTTTTCTGTCGAGCGCTGGGGGGAGAGCAGAGTGATGAAGTCCCGTAGGGTACAGATTCCATAGGATGATACACATGTCGCGAGTCTTCGACTCGTGACCTCGAGTTCTCACGGCGAGGACCGTTAGAGGACTCAACATAACCAGACTTATAAGACATGTTGTGAGTTGTACAGTCACACAGGTTCAGTTGAGTCACAGACGACACACAAGACAGTTGTAGAGAGTAGTTGTTAGTTAGCGGGAACCGCCTTCAGCGGTTTCTGTACAAGACGCGTGACTATCTACAAATGGTAAGGTCACGGGAAATCCCGCGAAACACAAGTAACCTTGGCCAGCACCAAAACCCCAATGGGGAAAGCTTTGCATGAGGGGGGGGGAAAAGGGTAGAATGAGTGAGGAGGTAGGGTATTGGGATAGAGGATGAAAGGGAGAAAGAGGGAGAGCAGTAGAGAGGAGAAGTCTTTGACTATGCGACAGATATGGTCATTGGAGACTCTGTATCCATAACAGGTAGGGTGACAGGTGGATGTCCTTCTGGAAGCCAGTCACCCATTCCCCAACCTGTCCTCAATCCCCTTCTTACCTAAGCATGAAACAATGTTAGTCAGCTACTCACATATGGTTGCAACACTGTGATGTGCAAAGTGAAAAAATTTGATGAGAATAACCTGTAAAGAAATCTCCAGTTATACTGTTGCAAAGGCACACAGAGTGCACTAAGTACCACAAACACAGTCCTCAGGCAGGCTTGAGGGCCTGGGATTGCTAGGTGGGGAAGAGCAGGCCCTCTCCCCCCAACCTCCAATCCTTCCTGCACTGGTGAGGAAAAAAAATCAATGTTGCACAGCCTACATCATTTATGTACATACCTGGCTCTATCTGGTACAATTGCTGACCATACTCAGTATGCACATGCAACTGTGAATGTTACAGGAATGGGTTCCGGGGAACCCAACCTGAGCCGTTCGGCTCACTAATGGAGGTGGCTGCGTAGCCATCGGAGGGAGAGTGGAGTAGGATGAGTGTACAGAAGTACAACCTGTGTGTCGGCCAACAGTAACTTGGCGCTCCTGGGAGCGTACCGGTAGCGAGTATGGTGTGGGCTCCTTGAGGGAGCCACCTGGCTGTCTGCTAACGGGGACTTGGCGCTCCTGGGAGCGTGCCGGTAATGGGTGTGCTGGGAGTGTTTGGCTAGTGGTGACTTGGCGCTCAATGGAGCGTACCAGTAGTGAGGGGTACTGGGACTCCCAAAGGGAGTCACCCAGATGGTGGCTATCAGTGACTTGGCGCTCATGGGAGCGTACCGGTAGCAGGAGTTGTTGGGGAAAGCAGGCTGGTGGACCAGTGTACGGTAGTGGGTGACCGTGGGAAGTGGGACCCGTGGGTGCGTGGCCAGGCATCCTGGAGCTGCCTGGACCGTATCCTTCTCCTGAGGAGGTGGGACAGGCTACAGTTCCTGATAGGGAACTTCTGGTTGGATGGGAGTGGGCAGCAGGAGGTTGGGCGTGGGAATGCCCTCCTCGCTGCGGTTTTGTCATGGAGAGGAGGAATAGGGAGGTGGACATGGTTCCAGGGTTACAGGTTGAGTTTACAGTGGTGACACAATGGTGAGGATGTTACAATTTGCGGTACAAGGTTTGTGGGTTATGTATTCGATAATGAGAACAGTTCCGGCATCTGCCTTATACATCATATGACTTCTAACTATCTAATATAAAAATCATAATGGTCAAAGGAAGTCCCTTGAAACTCAACAAATCCCCCAGCCAGCACCAAAACCCAGTGGGAAAGCTTGGCATGGGGTTTGACAAAGAAATAAAGTTGAAGGGGCTAAGGTTTGATTGTCTATAGTCATGGACCATAAGATTCTAGGTCCATTCCCATAACAGTGAATCTGTTGACAAGCCTCCTATTGCCTGATGCAACCTCCTAGAGAACTGCTGTGGCCATATGGTGGAGTGATTATCAGCTCCAAATATAAATATATGTTGATGGTCCCAGGTCCAAATCCTGGTGTGGCCACCCATAATTGGAGGACCACTGGTTGAATGGGAGGAGTGTGCACCATAGTGTGCCCACATTCCACTCCCATAGCTAACCCACATGTCCCATTACTACTTTGCTTGCATTGTCATAGAACTTTGCATAAGTCTGGGAAAGACCATCCCTCCAGGAAAAAGAAATGGAAAAATTCATTCTGCTGCTAAATGGATCCATTGGGAGCCCCAGTCCTCCCTGTCACTATATTGATGGTGGGTTGGTTGTTTTTTATTGTGTAAGTCACCAGCATAGATGTGAAGGCAATAGGCACTAGGGAGCAGAGGGATGAAAGGAATGATCTGACCTAGTTGCAAGCTGCACAAAGGGGCAAGCCCCAATTTGCAGTGGTGAGCACCTGCAGAATCACATTAGCACTCAAGTTTTTGCAGTCACTTTGATGGAGTCAGTCAGCATCTGGGATGACAGCTGGGTCCCCTCTCAGGTCATGTAATACCTTTGAAACTACTCCAGCATTGCAATCCCTCTCCTCTCTGGACTCCCCTCCCAAATCATTGAGCGTCAAAAAGGGATCTTGGAATGGAAGGCATATTGTGATGGTCTGACTGAAGATAGGGTGAAGGGCCATGCTGAAATGTCAGACAAGTGTTGCTTAGCCCTGGAGTCACCTCAGAGGTTTCAGCAACCTCCTGCTCAGCAGATGTTCCAGGCAGCCTTCCTTGGGCTTCTTCAGACAAGGCTAGACTGATGTGGACACAGTACTTGACTGAAAACCTGGCCACCTGAACCTGATACTGATGCCTGATCATCTTCAAATCCCAAACAGGACATCAACCACTCTGATACAGCAGACCCATCCATGGGACAGTGATGGCAGCAGTGCATGCCTGATCTCTTGACATCTTCCAGTTTGGGCCAATGTCAATGTCCTTGAGGTCTGGGATATGAAACTTGGCAATAAACTTGCCCTTTGTGGGCCCTCCACCATCTTCTGTCTCATTGCCCTCCATGGCAGCCTTCTTCTGTGTGCTTTTCTTCCCTTTCTTCTTCCCCTTCTTCTGACAATGTGCCTGTGTATGTCAGGCCCTTGTCCAGGAGAAGCCATCTCCTGCCACCACCTTCCATCACCTCCAGCCATCCTGGATTGCCTCCACTCCACCATCCCCAACCTTGGAGTCCCCAAATCCCATAATCTCCTCCAACTCCTCCGATGGTCACCACCCCCCCATTTCAAAGACTCCCCAGTCTGTAAATTAGGGCACCAACGTGTTACTGGGCACATCGCTCCTGGCTGAGTCACTGAGGCCATAGCCCTCCGAACACTGAGTTGTTCTCATTCATTTGGAATCTGGTCTTTGACACCAGCAGGGAGATGCAGACCATGAGAGCCAACACCATGAAGGGACCTTGTCTGACATTGCCCTTGTGTGAGTGAGAACTGTCATATATGTACATACCCAACCCTGATTTGACTCCCAGACCCTTTCCACCACCTCTGGAGTCTTACCCCTATTCCTGTCCATTCCAATCCCCACCTTTGGACCTGACCTCACTTCCCATTCCTCACCTTCCATTCCTCCAACTCTCCCCCACCTAATCTCTGCCAAGGTATGACCCTTGTTCTGAATTGTACCTTCACTCCAAGATCCTGTCTTGGTCCCTGACCTTGGACTTTGACACCACCCTGGCTTAAGTCCATTGCATTGGTGACCTCATTTCATGTAAACACCATTGCCAATATTAAATCCCACCTCCATAAGCTCCATTACCTTCAAGCTTCATGGACCTACCTCAGCCCCTTTGCCATTCTAATGTATACTTTGTGTTTCTCCCTCACCCTTATTTGGACTACTGCTTCCTTCTATTCAGCCAGTTAGTCATCCACCCCACTTCCTCTTGCCCTCCTGCCCCTCTGAGTCTTCACCCTCCTTACCTTCTTTCAGATGCACCATAGAGTCTAACCCTTGACCCTCAGTGTAGTTCCCAATCTGCAATTCCCTTTGTCTCCATTCAGACACCTTTGTTCCATTTTGGACCCCCTTTGTTCTTTGTGCTCCCATCTCTCCTTTATATATAGACTATGTACATACTCGTTTGTACCTCAGTCAGTAATCAACTTGATTTCCCCCTAGAGACTTTACCCTTGCCATGTCTAAAATTAAGGACCAACAGGACAACCAGCAATGGCACAGCACTCCACTTGAGTCGCTGAGGCCAAGGTCCCTCCTTGCTAAGTCTCTGTTTCCATTCCAGAACCATCTGAGACTGTCTGTTTCTAACATGAACAAGGGGTGTATGATGTACTACTTACCTCATTTCTTTGGCCCATTTAATATTTTAACCCAAGTATACCAGTTGTGTTGAGTGTTAGAGACTGGATGCAAGATGAAGGAGATGTCTCCATGGCAGAGGGCTTTGGCCTCAGCAACTCAGACCAGGAGCGCTGTGCCTAGTTACACATCTGTGCCCTAATTTACTTACTGGCAGCGAGAACTAAAGGGGGATTAACTCTAGTCGATTTTATCACTAGGGTGTAACCTATCTACAAGTTATGTATATATAGTTACAGCGAGGGTGGGCCCATGAATGGTGGGACTGAGCGGAGCGGAGCTAATGGGGTTAAACGTTAGCCAACTGAATATTACTGACGAGTCAGGTTACTGTCAGGGGACGACTCCTGGGTCCCCATGACCCTCCCCTATGGTCCACAGCCTCTGGTCTGGCCAGCCCTATCCAGGGCACAATCTACTGTGGGTAAGGAGATGAGAAGGAAGCTAACTTCTCATCTTCCCACAGTGGCCACAATATCAGCAAAACTTCCGGGGATACCCGGAAGTCACATGAAGGGGTAGGAACTGGGCTCGGAGCATGTGGCGTGCGGAGCGTGCGCGCATGTGGGAAGCATGGCAGGTGGAAGCGGGTCCGGACGTGGGTCCGGGTCCAGGCTAGTCAGGGTGTGTGCCCTGACAGTTACAGGGTTAGCGGAGTGACAGGCTATAACCCAGAAATGGAAAGGAGGGATAGGCCCAAAGGTAGACTTGCAGGGCAAGCAAGTGAATTGCCCAGCAGGGGTGGGAGTGCACTAGTGGACGTCGGAGCTGTCTGGAGGCCTTCGGAATTCTGTACTTAGGGAGGTGTAGGTAATATATTGAATTGAGGGGGTGGTGACCATCAAGGGAGTCGGAGGTGGTTGTGGAATACAGGGGGCTCCAAGGTTAGTGACAAAGGAGCGGAGGTAGTCTGGAAGGATCGGAGGTAGTGGAGGACGATGGCCATAGATGGATATGACATTGAGCACAAGTGATGCAGTGCCTCCCAGAACTTACCAGACATTTCAAGGCAGCATGTGACTCCATAATCCAATGGAGCCCCCATGCAGCATAGAGAATGTTGGCTCCCAAGTGGAACTTGCTAGAGAGCCTTTCTGTCATATCCATACATACCCAATCCTGATCCAACTCCTGGACCCCCATCTTCATCACCTCCAGAGTCCTACCCTACTTCCATCTGCTCTGATACTCACCTTTGGACTGAACATCACTCCTCTCGCCACCCTCCTCCTATTACTCCTCCTCACTCCTCATGTCACCTCCACCCTTCCATCCCTCTCCTACCCTACTTCTGTCTGCTCCAATACTCACCTTCGGACCTGACACCATTCCTCCTCCACTCCTCTCATCACTCTCCTCCCTCCAACCCTCTTCTGCCAAACCTCTGCCAAGTTACAACCTTCCACCGCATTCCCATACCCTGTACTCAGACACTGCTCATACCTTCACTCTGAGATCCTGTCTTAGTCCCAACCTCAGACTTTGACTCCACCTTGGCTTAAGTCCATTGCATTGGTGACCTCATACTACGTAAACACCATTGCCAACATTCCTTGGACTTTCAACCCCACCTCTGTAACTCTGTAAGCTCTGCAACCTCCAAGCTCCATGGACCATACTCGGCACTTTCACTGCTTGTAATGTATCTTTCGTGTTTCCCCCTCATCCTTATTTGGACTGCTGCTTCTCTCCATTCTAGCCAGTTAGTCATCATCCCCACTTCACCTCGTCCTCCTGCCCCTCTGGGCTTCACCCTCCCTATCTCCTTTCAGATGCACCACAGGTTCTAACCTATGACCTTCAGTGCCAATCTGCTTCCGTCATCCCTTTGTCCCTGTTCGGACACCTTTGTTCTGATTTGGACCCCCTTTGATTTCCTTGTGCTTTCGTCTCCCTATTATATACAGGCGCTTGTACATACTCATTTTGGACCTTCAGTCTAAAATCGACCTGAAATGCCCCCTAGAGACTTCCTGCTCACTGCCTCTGAAATTAAGGACCAAATGGACAAACAGCAATGGCACAGCACTCTGCATGAGTCGCTGAGGCCAAGGTCCCTCCTTGCTACATCAGCAAAAGTCCGTTATGCTCCGGAGCATCAGGAGTGGCTGGAGCATGTGGGAGACAAAACAGCAGATTGGGCACTCCTGGAGCCAATAGTGTTCTCCTGGGAGGGGGTCCAGGAGCGGCTGGGAGTGGTGAGGAGTATGCAATGTGCCAGGAGCAGTGGGAGGAAAATTTTGGTCTCTAAAAAGTTGAAAAAAAAAATTTAGGGAAAAAAATCAAAAAAATTCAGGAACTATAGTGCCTTTAAAGTGCTTTCAGGACATATGTTTATTTGCGAAATTGAGGAAGAAATGATGAAGAAAAATGGAAAATACTTTCGGAGACCCGAGAAGTAATGAGAACTGAATTGATGGGAAAGTCTGAAAATTGAATAGGAAAGTGAGGGGAAGCCTTGTAGCATTGTTATTTTCTGCTGTTGTGATTTTTCCTGATTGTTCTTGGTCTCACTCCCAGCTGCTCCTGGACCCTCCCAGGAGCTTTCAGGAGCTTCCAGGAGTATTGAGGAGCAGCTGGGAATGAGACCAAGAAGAATTGGGAAAAATCACAACAGCAGAAAATAACAATGCTACAAGGCTTCCCCTCACTTTCCTATTCAATTTTCAGACTTTCCCATCAATTCAGTTCTCATTATTTCTTGGGTCCCTGAAAGTATTTTCCATTAGCTGCTCCTGGACCCTCCCAGGAGCTTCCAGGAGTATCCAGGAGTATCCAGGAGCAGCTGGGAGTGAGACCAAGAAGAATCAGGAAAAATTAGAACAGCAGAAAATAACAATGCTACAAGGCTTCCCCTCACTTTCCTATTCAATTTTCAGACTTTCCCATCAATTCAGTTCTCATTATTTCTCGGGTCTCCGAAAGTATTTTCCATTTTTCTCCATCATTTCTTCCTCAATTTCACAAATAATTATATATCCTGAAAGCACTTCAAAGGCACTACAGTTCCTGAATTTTTTTTGATTTTTTCCCTAATTATTTTTTCAACTTTTTAGAAGTCCCTATTTTTCAAATTTTCCTCATTTCCCTCTATATTCCCCCCTCATTCTCCCCCTCATTCTCCCCCTCATTTCCCCCCTCATTCTCCCCCATTTCCCCTTCCTCCATATTCTGCAAGTCCGAAAGTGATTAAGTTGCCAGATTAATCATATATCAGGCCATAAATTTTGACTGTGTATTGGTGAGTCTCAGTGTCCTTGCTGTATAGTATAGTGTTTGATCTAAATGTTAAGTAGTGTCTTGTTGTGTTAGTCTTGTGGTAGGAGGTATTCATGGGGAGTCTTCCCTCTTTTTTTTCCTTTTCATTTTCAAATGCTCCAGGAGCTCCCAGAAGCTTCTCACCCCTATACATTTTGAAGCATTAAATTGTATTTACTGGATATGTTTGTGCACAAAGCAATGCTCCATGCCCTCCTGGGAGTGCCCTGGAGTACCTGACCAACTCCGGAGGAAATGAGCTGTTCCTGGACCGGCCAATCTCCTCCTGATTCTCCCAGTGCTCCCCATACTCCGGAGCACTCAGGAGCATAACAATTTTTTGCTGATGTAAGTCTCCAGTTCCCCTCCAGAATTGTCCACCCTTGCCCAGTTCTAACACTTTCATACAATTTTGCAGCCCTCAAAAGCTGCAGAGCATTACCATTGGAGCTGATGATGCCAAACACTGGTGCTTCCACCTCTCCTCCCAATCCCACCACAAACAACAGAAGGTGCATCCCTGTATGTTTGGAGATATATCATAGGTAATGTTTGAGTTAGACCTTGCACAATCTTGACCTTCCATGCATCTCTGTGGTTGATCACTCATTGTACTTGTGGATGATTGAGGGGTTCCAATTTCCCCACCACAATGGATACTAAGTAGTGATACTCAGCAGGGCACTGTTTGAAATAACTCTCATACCACCTACATTCTGGTTGTTCCCATTAGCTCTGTTAAATCTTATGTGTACTACTTGGCTGTGTTCATCTGGGAACTCTGTGTGCCACATGCTCATGTAGAGCCCACACTCAGCCTTGAAGCAATCTAGGTCATTTTGGGAACTGGAGAATGGGGTGGGGGTGGCCACTTTAGGTGGTTTCAGGGTTGGGGCTGGGGGTTGCCCTTGGGAAGTCAGCTGGGCCTGGAGGTCCTGGAGCTGGCATGGAAGCTCTGTGATCTGTTCCCTCTAGTGACATCAGGGTGGGGGGTGCAACTGGGTTTAACCCTTCTTCTGCTCTCAGGGCCTGGCCCTCATTCTGGGATGGCCCTAGGGGAATCCTTCTGGTTGCTGGGGTGTCCAGTCCCAGTCCAAGGTCCTCAAACTCACTGAGGGGGCTAGCCCCAACCTTCACAGGGAATGTGTCAGGGCATGGGAAAACGTTACTGTGACTCGCCGTCGGCGACCATTAAGGTCCACTACTTCGGCGTAACAGCCCATCAAGGGCGGGGATGACAATTGTGGCGGAACGGGGTTTCGGCTTCAATGACTCGTTTGTGAGTGTTGTGCCTTGTACTTGACGTGGCCCCAATATTTCAGGAGACAGGAGGTGTGACTGGGTCAGATAGAGGGTGCAGGGGGTAACCCTAGTTGATTTTCGAACTAAAGTACGAGGTAGTGTACAACCGGTATTTAAGTATAACGGAATGAATGGAATTAAGTCCCCAGATCTCACGGAGATTGTGGGTGGGGTTAAGAAGAAACGAAAACAAACAAGGAGTGTGGGAGAAGGATGGCCGTGTATGGCTGTCAAGGAAACAAGCATGATAAAGAAAGACTCGTAGGCCCGTGATGGGCCATGGAAACAGGTAGTGGTGACGGGGAAGGGTGACAGGCTTGTTCAGGTGGCGTCGGGTGGGCAGCAGGGTTGACGGGGTCGAAGCGGGGGAGGGAGAAGGTGTGGGGAGTGATCACCTGACCGTGGGAATTGCCGGGTCGTGACAGAATGAGTTGAGAAGAAGGGTAATCTTCTCAACCCCCTGTGAGGCTGCTACAAAAGGAACCTGAGAACTATACAGTTTTTGGCTCTTTGCCAACTTTCCATAACTGGTATCCCCCTGTGGGAAGATTCTGGGTGAGCTGCTTGCCCAGAAAGTTCCCACAGTTGTGGCTGTGATGGTTTCTGGGCAAGTGATTTACCCAGAACTTTCCTACAGGTCTGCATGTGTGCACCATTGTGAAACAGTGAAGGGGAAAATGAGGGAAAATGGGGGAAGGGTGACTAGAAGGGGGGTGGGGTACCTGAGGGTGCGTGGGGTTGAGGGCTGTGCCCTGACAGTACTGTACTGAATGGGCCTTGTTGTCCCTGGTATGAAATCCCTGCAGAGGGTCTGAAAAGCCTGTCTATTTGATGCAGTAGCTTAATCTGAACAGCATCTGTACTAGTTACTGAGTGGGGGAATGTTCAGAGCATCAGGAGTCTTTGCTCCCTGTTGGAAATGAGCATCAGGCCCTTGAGATTAGGCATAAACAAACTATGAGAAGCTCCCATTTTTCTATACTCCTGAAATGTAGGCACTTACTGGTATGGAACAGGCTGTAGGTGTAGCAGCCATTGGGAATGGGTCTCCAGATTTTGAACTAAAGCCTCATCCTCCTTTAACTTCTTTTGCCTGGGCCCTGAGATACTGCCAGCTGCTGTTTCATGGCTTGAAAATGGAGTATGGGCTAGGAAGCTCATTGCTTGTCTCCATCAGAGCCAAGGTGTCATTCTTATGATGATGAAGAGGAAGAGGAAGAGAATGAGCAGAAGAAGGATGACAAGGCCAATGAAGACTTGTCTGAAAAGGATGCCACAGAAAGCAGCAGCATCAGCAGCATTGATTCTGACAATGACAATTCTGCCCCTCCTGCTTCTCCCACTCAGCCTTCCACTCCTCCCATGCAGAGGCAAACAAGGACCATGATGAGGTTGAAAGAGATTGGTGGTGCCAAGGCAAAGCCATCAAAAACCAATATGGCTACAAAGGTATTTGATCCTGCATCTGCAATGTAAAGGACTAGAGACCTTGATTTTCTATGAATTGTTATTCCTTTGTAAGTTCATAAAACAGATTCCCCATGTTGCCATAAATTTTTTGGATTTTATTTCATATAGATTACCTTGCTTTTATTTTTCTATGTTGTCCCACATTGCCACAATTTGATTTTGTATAGAACACCTTTGTCATATCTGTTTGATCCCAATTTGACTCCCAGACCCTTTCCACCACCTCTGGGGTCTTACCCTATCCCCATCCATTCTGATCCCCACCTTTGGACCTGACCTGACCTTCCGTTCCCCCTGACTCTTCCCTGCCAAATCTCCACTAAGGTACAACCCCCTGCTCCATCCCATACCCTGACCTTGGACACCAATCGTACCTCCACTCCAAGATCCCATCTTAGTCCCAGCCCTCAGACTTTGACACCATCCCAGCTTAAGTCCATTGCATTGGTGACATCATTTCACATAAATGCCATTGCCAATATTCCTCAGACTTTCAACCCTGCCTCTGTAAGCTCCACTACCTCCAAGCTTCACAGACCTACCTAGGCCTCCTTGCTATTTTTACTGTATACTTCACCCTTCTCCCTCACCCTTATTTGGACTACTGCTTCTTTCCATTTAGCCAGTTACATAGCCATCCACCCCATTTCCTCACCTCCTCCTGCCCCTCTGGGCCCTCACCCCCCTACCTCCTTCCAGACACACCATAGAGTCTAACCCTTGACCCTCAGTGCAGTTCCTGTTCCAAACTCCCTTTGTCTCTGTTTGGACACCTTTGTTCCATTTTGGACCCCCTTTGTTCTTTGTATTCCTGTCTCCCTTTATATATAGAGTATGTACATACTCATTGTACCTCAGTCTAAAATCAACTTGATACTCCCCCTTGAGACTTCACTCTAACTATGTCTGAAATTAAGGACCAACAGGACAAATAGCAATGGCACAGCACTCCACCTGAGTCACTGAGGCCAAGGTCCCTCCTTGATAAGTCTCCAATTCCATTCCAGAATCATCCAAACCCACACCATTCTAACACTGGCAATCAGACTGCCCCATGCCCTCAACTAAGTCCATGTCAGTTGATTACCATCATTTTCTTATGATTTTATTATGACCTTGATACAGAATGCCACTGTCAAGGCTAGCAAGAAGTTTAATAAGGAGTTTAAATTCAACAAGTCTGATTTCAGGCCCCACTTCAAGAACAAGTCACTTTTTAAAAGCAGTCAGGCCCACTTTGCATATTGGCAAGGTGTTGGTGGCTATGTGAGTCTGAATATCTGACATTCTGCTTGTTACCCCACGGGACCCCAGCACAATTTCCCTACTGTTAGTCATGATGCCCAGGTTTGCAAGAAGATGGACAGGGAATTCCATCAGGAATGTGAACCTGTTTACCACACCATCAATATTTACATGGAATGCCTTGCTCCTGAGCTAGCAAAGAGTGGGCAGGAAGTGTGGAACTATGTGAGGCAGTTTTGTGACAAAGAGGAGCACCTGTAGGTGGTCAAGTCACACTTTGTCAGTCATGCAGTAATTTTCAACTTGGATGAGGATTACCACAAGGACACCAATTCATGCTGGTCTGGCTTTGACACTGTGGCCATTTTGGGAGAATATGAGGGGGGTCTTGTCACAGCCCCACAAAAGTGCCTGTCTGCTACCACTCTTCCACCATCCCCTTCCCCACCACCTATCTAGCCCCTGTCAGTCTTCTCCATAATTTGTCACTCAGTGGTGCTGATAGTTGACCCCATTTGCAGTCCTGCATCAGTGCCTTATGGATGACACAATGATATATATATATCCTGAAGGATTGATCTCAAGTCTCAAGGGGAATCTCAAGTCGATTACTGACTGAGGTTACAAGTTACTAAGTACATTGCATATATAGGAGGGGTCTGGAGTCTGTCATATCCATCCCTGGCCATCGACTCCCGGGTTCTCCGACCCCTCCGTCCTCACTCCGCTCCCCCCTCACCAACCTCGGAGCCCCCGTATTCCGCAAACCTCCCGGTGCCCCTCGATGACCACCACCCCCTCATTTCAATTTATTACCTACGCCTCCCTAAGTACGGAGCCCCGAAGACTTCCGGACAGCTCCGATGTCCGCTAGCGCACTCCCGCCTCCGCTGGGCAATACACTCGCCTGCCCTGCAGAGTCCACCTTCGGGCTTATCCCTCCTTTCCGTTTCTGGGTTAACGCCTGCCTTTCCGCTAACCCCGCGACCCGACTCGTCGGTAATATTCAGTCGGCTAATGTCTTAACCCCGTTAGCTCCGCTCCGTCCGGCTCCGCCAATTGCGGAACCGCCTCCGCTGTAACCATATATATACACTACTTGTACATAGGTTACGCCCCAGCAAATAAATCAACTAGAGTTACCCCCACTAGGTTCTAAGTGCCAGTCAGTAAGTTAGGGCACGGACGTGTCACTAGGCACAGCGCTCCTGGCAGAAGTCGCTGAGGCCAAAGCCCTCCGTTACGGAGACATTCCTTCGTCTTAAAATCTGGTCTCTGACAGAGTCAAAAGGAGCAAGGGTAAGCTGAAAGGAGACAGGGTGTGTGGGGTTGATCCCTCATGACCACATCAGACTGCTCACCCTCTCCCAACCCACCCTTCTTCATGATGGCATAAACATCACAGGGATATTGCCCACCTTCCTCAAATGCATCCTGACAAGTCTTCCATCAGACATAGACATCTGGAGCCACAATGGTCCTGCTCAACTAAGCAGTGAGGCTGTCACTTCATTCACATCAGAACATGAAGTAAGTGTCATTGCATCCATCAGTGTAGCATCAAACTAAATGCAGGTCAGGCCATTGTCAGAGACCAGGTTGAGATGAAGGAAAGTCTCCGTGGTGGAGGGCTTCAGCCTCAGCGACTTATGCCAAGAGCGCTGTGCCAAGTAACATGTCCGTGCCCTAACTTACTAACTGGCAACCAGAACTGAAAGGGGGTAAACTCTAGTTGATTTTATTACTGAAGTGTAACCTATGTACAAGTTGGATATATATATGGTTACAGCGAAGACGGGTCCACAAATGGCAGAGTTGAACAGAGCGGAGCTAATGGGGTTAAACATTAGCTGACTGAATATTACCGACGAGTCAGGTTGTGGGGTTAACGGAAAGGAGGGATAGGCCCAAAGGTGGGCTCTGCAGGGCAGGTGAGTGTATTGCCCAACGGAGGTGGGAGTGCGCTAGCGGATGTCGGAGCTGTCTGGAAGTCTTTGGGGCTCCGTACTTAGGGAGGCATAGGTAATAAATTGAAAGGAGGGGGTGGTGACCATCGAGGGGTACTGGGGGGATTGCAGAATACGGAAGCTCTGAGGTTAGTGGAGAAGGAGCGGAGGTAGACCGGAGGGATCGGAGGTACCGGAAGTTGTTGGCCAGGGATGGATATGACAGCCATAGTGGAAGGGGATGCTGCACTTGACCAATTTTACCATACCTACCCCTCTGATGATTCTAGTGATGTGATGGTTGTATCCAGAGGGGGGGGGAATGAAGGGGAAATGAGGGGAAAATGAAGGGGAACTAGGGGGTTTCTAAAAATTTGAAAAAAAGGTCAGGGAAAATTAAGGAAAATTCAGAAAATGGGGGACTTTCTAAAGGAGAATGTTCAAAAAATTGGAAAATTTGGGATAAGTTAGGGAGAGATATTTCAGGAAATTAGGAATAATTGGAAAAATTAAAATTAAAATCACTTTTTTTGATAATTCAATGTGCATTGGAAAGTGCCAAAGTGGGGCAATGTAAGCAATGTATGTTTCAGTGTTAAAAAAGTCTCCCACCATGCTTGGTGAGCCAAATAACCATGGCTTTTTGACCATTGGAAATTTGGTGTCAAAGGCTTGGTATGGATGTATGGATGATATCTGAAGGATACACATCAGCTTTTTGTTTGCTTTATTGGGCTGTATTTTTAATTCACTTCATTTGGAACACAAACTGATTTATACCCTACATAACATGCATGGTTACATTACCACACTTCAGTGCTTTCCAATTCACATAGAATCATCAAAATTGGTTGAATTTTGAGCAAGAAATGAGATGAAAGATAAAGTGAAAATTTTTGAATTTTTGTCATATCTGTACAATCCCAACCTCTGCTCAGGGCTCCTGGAATTCTGAAACCAACTCCAGAGCCCCACTTCCCTTTCATCACCCTCTCCCTTGCCAACTCCCAAGTGGCTATCTCACCTCCAGCTCCAACACCACCTTCAGTCCAACTCCAGACCATTCCATGTCCAACCCCAACCTCAACACCTTCCAGACAAGTATGTGACATCTATGCTCCTGACTCTGGACCTCTGCTCCAGAATCCCATTCACATCTCCATCTGTGGGATTTCCCATGACCATTTTACTTTGTAGGTAGTCATGCATCATGTGCAGAAACCACCAGAGGTGGTTCCCACTAACTACTACAAACTACTACAAACCTCCTTGTGTGCTGTCCTTGTAACAACCTCCCTTCTGTGTGTACAAATCTCAACATGTCCAATATGTCTGACTATGCCAAGTCTTCTGGTAGCTCTTGCCAGGAGAACTCAAGGTTGCAAGTCGAAGCCTCACAACCTGTGTATCATTCACTGGAACCTGCACCCTACAGGATGCCACCACCTAGTTCTCCCTCTAATGGATGTCGTTGTAAGGGGGCAAGGGATCTACCACCCTAACGAGAAAGAGAGGGGGCCACAGAGTTGGGAATGCTCAGGGGAGGTTCAGGTGATGATGAGGGGGGAGGAGAAATGGTCTGGGTGCGATGTGATAAAAATGATAAACTCGTAAATCTCACTGATAATCAAACTAAAGGGAACTCTGTCCCTGCACTATATCTTGAGCCTCTTTGGCTTCGTATTCACTGCTCTGGGCACCGGTAATGTCTGCTAAAACTTCATGTTCTTGTTGGGGAGCACCTCTCTCTGTTGGGGGAGTCCTCTTTGTAAATACAGGAAAGAGGGTAACTATAAATATGAAAGAAATACGTGGAAATCCAAATAATCCAACGGGTTTAGGATGGCAACAGATCCACAAGGAACAAGTAAGAAAAAAGTAATATCAAAGAAATATTAACATTGTTAAGGAAATACAGAAACATGGCGATCGCCCCAACCGCTGAACCAAATTCGTCACTCGTAACATCGTTTGACTCGTGTTAACAAGGGCTTTCCAACGGTACCAAATTCGTCCAGATCAGTGGAGAATTGATGGAGATATGGAGGAAGTGATGGAATATGCAGGTGACAGTTACCCAATTTGGAAACTGAAGGTTGTCCATGGTCAGGAATGGCTTGAAAAAATCGGAAAAAATATGGGAAACATGGAAGGGGCATCTGGAACAGTGGTAGATGTGTTTCAGAAGTGGGGTGCTTGATGTGGGTGGTAGAATCACGATAATCGGCTTGTTTGCATGGTACTGGCTGTGCCTGCCTACATCGTCATAGTTACTCAGGTCCATAACGACCATGAAGACTCCATTCCCATGATGCCAGCACACTCATTGCACAAGTGCCGAGTAGCTGCCCATCAACCATCTAGTCTCTCCCATGTTAGTCATCACACCCCTCTGCAATCGGTACATTCCCTTTGAGAATTCCAAGTCACCAAAAGCCCTGTTCGACATTCCTTCCCTGATATGCATAACAAAGACCTGCTACCAGTACATTCATACTATGAATCCCAAGTAACCATTAGCAATGATATGGAAACCCCTCATGTTGCATCTGTGCACATGGTATGCTCCACTAAGGAGTGCCAAGTACCTGTGGCTAACCTATTAACCCTGCTATCTCTGACCACAAGTCATCGAACCCTTAATAGCTCACTCAATCATGGACCATGATCAATGAGGGTTCAATCATCCATTCTCATACCCAACTGGGACCACCCATTGATTACACATTCCATTAATGTACAAACAAGATCTTATGACAATCTGTTGGCTATAAGAATGGGTCGAGAGGGGATAATTTCTCCCCATCCTTGTAATATTGAGTCTCCTTTTCCACATCCAGACATGCATCTAACACTTCTTCCCCAAAGTGATGGTGGGAGGGGCTTGCTATGAAATGTATTCAAGTTAAAAACAAATTAATTAATTAATTAATTAATTAAAAAACACTGACTACATGACCAGTGCAATGCTAGTACCCATAATAAACTTGGCTGCTCTTGAAGAGACCTGAGGTTGGATCATTGAAACCCTTTCATGAGGTCTTGCTGAATTTGTAATTGTGGCTAAGTTCATGACCAGCATCCACAATGTCATCCTTTATCAAAAGAATTAGATGAGTAGTGTGGCTTAGTGAGAATGTACATGAATGGTTTCAAAAACATTGGAGAGATGTATGGCCAATAGCCTCCCATGATGATCCTCAATAGCTGCACCCTGCTCATTTTGCAACAGGAGCTTCCTACTGTCCCTATCAGAGTCCTGATGAGGGTCCAGAAGAACAAGTTCCTTCAGGTGTGTTTGGCTTTTAGCAGGTCCCATAGCCTTGTTGTTGTGTTGTGGCACCTCCCTATAGTCCATATCAAGTTGTACTTTGCTAGGATGAGCAGTCAATCATTGCATCACACACTTCATCAAATCACATCCCAATGCGGAACTGAAAAAAATGGTAAGCACATGAACATGGGTAGTGATTAGTCCTTTCAACCTGAAGCTTTGCAACACTGCTGAAGGAATAGAATACCTTCATGTGCAAGGTATAACACATGGTGATATAAAACCTGTATGTCTCTATGCTCCTAGTCTTTGGACAATAATGCCATAAACCAGACAAATATTCTTCTTGATCCAGACCTGAGAGCAATGCTTTGTGATTTTGGACTGGCAAGAAAAATCAGCAACCCCCAAACAAATCACAGGACAGCAGCATTAATACAATGCATGAATACTCTGCACTCAAATTGCTGTTGGGAATGTCCATTGAGCCTCCAGCATCCAGGAGCACAAGTGGGTTCACATCATAATCAGCAGGATTGAGATTGTGTGACTTCCAGGCAAAGTCATCCCAAGTGGGGGGAAAACTCAAGGTAGAGTGTTGGACATGAGCTGCCCTGTAGCCTGCAAATAGAAATGCAGTGGTAGGGTTGGGATAGTGAACAGAAAGAGTGTGGAGAGATGGGATTAACCCCTGGTGAGTGGTTAGGTTGTCATTCCCAAAGATGGTCACCCTATCCAGGGTCAATTTTACAGACATCCAGCAATCTAGTAAACTCTTGTCTTCCAACAAAGAGATTGACAAGAGCCAGGGTAGAGAGGTTTGCTGATTGAGTGGTTGAAAGTGGAATGAAACCACCACTGATAGTGAAGTGATGGAGTGATGGAAGATGGGACAGAACTTCCTGATAAGCATAGTCATGCTCAGCAGAGAAAGGCACCCAGAGAGTCAATCATTCAATGGACCCATGTAACACACCCTTATCTTCCCAGAAATCACCTACCACCCCATGAAGCCTCTCCAGGACTAATGACAGAGCTGTTATCCTGCTCTGGACATCAGGGCTCTCAAGCCCAACTATCCCTCTGTGCATGGGATGGTGTGTTCCCTCATGGACTTCTAAAGGAAGGCCCTTGGAATAATGGATGTGTGGTGCATAGGACTAATGGCCATCCAGTTCATATTTGAGGACATGATTGAGCTGCATGCCTCCAAGTGGAGCTGACTTGACTGAGGGCAATTGGAGAAGAAAATGCAGGCTATTCTCTTGAATGGCATATTAGCAGAGAGGGGTGATAGGAGATTACATACCATCAGAGTCCTTTTTATGGCATATAGAAATATTCTTTGTAGAACCTCCATGGGGATTGCAGCTACAGGTTGAAGGAAGTTACCAAGAGTGGCATGTTGATATGACAGACACATTACCCCACTTCTGTAGCATGTTCAATGGTAATGAGTTTCTGAAAAATCCAGACATGCTCTCACACTCTGCACCCATGTGTTCCAGATAATCCTTGAGTGCACTTTGAGATAAATTATGGGCAGTGGGATTGTAGGTGCAACAGAGTGGTTGAGCAGCACTGCATTTATGGCCAAGAATGTATTGCTCCAATACATGTACATCAGCAATATCTGATGAAGTAGAGTAGCAAACATCTAGTAGTAGGTGGTGTTGGCTTCAGACTGAGACAGGGGAGGAGTTATTTGGGATTTTCAGGGTCCCACCTGTATCCTAGTAGGTGCCTGAGGGAATGTTCAACACTCACAGACTCCCAGACTATGTCAGTATTAGGCATTAAGCTGGATTCTGTTATAACTTACCTATGTGGGCTTTAAGTTGAGAAGAGGTAACCTTCTCTATTCCCTGCACAGCCACTATAAGAGTAGTTGCTTTTGAATTGATTTCTCAGCAATGCCCAGGAATTGGGTATATCTACCTGCCCTATAAAAGACCCAGGCTATAGGCTATTTCCACTAACTGCACCCTCTTAAATTTTCAACTTAGATGAGGATTACTACAAAGATGCCAATTCTTGCTGGTCTAGGTTCAATGCTGTAGCAGTTATGGGGGGATATGAAGAGGGGCTGCTGATCTTGGATGCTTGTTCCCCTCTTGCCTTGGGAACCTCTTCTTCATCAGGGGTACAGCCTTCACTCACTCAGCCAGGGGTTGGAAGCAATGGAAGATTGGATATGATGTTCTTTTCTGACAGGAGGGTATGCACTCAGGACCATCAATCAAGGCCATGTGATCTGTCCAGGCTTTATGGAGGCTGTTGGCCTCCCTCAAGCAAACCCAATATGTAGCCCATTAAATTTCTATAAAGGGAAATTTCTATAAATGGTAATTTCCCTGTATAGAAATTTCCCTTTATAGAAATTACCATGTATGGTAATTTCCCTGTTTTATGGTACCTTTTGGAAATGGAAATTTCTTTTACAACTTCTCAGTGTCCAAATTTTAATATTCATCAGCATTGTGAAATAAATCCCAAAATACTTTATAGTGCTGGAATCAGCATTTCTTTCAATTCCTAACCAGAATACTGCAAAAAAAACCAGTTTCAAGTTTTTGCCAGCACAGACAGCATGAAACTGAATTATGGGGATTGCCAAGCCCATAAAGGAAACTATACCTTCGGTCCCAGGCCTTCTGGCCATGGACATAAGTGGTGTTAACAATGGAGCCACTTGGAAATAGAGTCAGAGATAAAACAAAATTCTTTGATTCACTCCCAGAAGGCCCAGTACATTTCTTTCAGCCAAAGGACATGTATAAGTAACAACCTAATCCATGCCATCCATAGAGAATTTTCCATCAATCCAGCCTTTGTTGTAGTGACCTTAGAAATATTTGCCACTTGTGACCCTGCACTGCCACACCCAGATAATTCCGGATAGTACCCAGGTTTGAATGTCATCTATCTTAAGATAGACGACGTTGATAAGTCGTCACTATGATGGCAATTGCCGGATGTGGCAGTACAGGTCACGAGCGGCCAATGTTTCTAGGCCCAGAAATTCATGTGTATAATTGAAGTTATTGTATTGTCTGATTGTCTTATATATACTATTTATATATTCTTTTCAATATTTCTAGCTGCAAATTCCCGAATAACCTCCTGCACTGCCTCAGGTGGGAGTCCGCGATGCCCTTTGTATTTTTTGACTGCCCATTGGGCCTCACACCCATTCAGGCCATAGCAATAGCTCTCCATGTACCGTAATGAACGATTTGCAAACCTGTGGATTTGTGTTATCATAAATATTTGGGATTTAATTGAAGAAGGAATCCTTACTTTCGCATTGAAGTTATCGTCACAGATTCCAATGCTTTCTGCAGATTAATTTCCACATCTTCAACCTTCGATGATGGTGGAGATTCACGATAGGTCCTCTTTGAATAGCCCCATACTTGTTCAATAAAGTTCAGTTCGCAGTGGAATTTTGGGAGGAATAGAATGCCAAACCCAGCAGCTTCACAGTGTGTCTGAAGCAGGGATTTGACATTCATGAAGTCGTTAGAGTGGAAAAGGATATTGCGGCAGCAGCATTGTGCTGCTGTACCACGACATTTGAACTTGTCACACTGAGCACGAAGCCCAGCAACCTCATAGCCCCGCTCTTCTAAGATCTTTGCCATCCCTTTGAAATATCCAGGATATTTGGGGTGATCATCAGGGTAATAAATATGTTGAATTTGACCATTCCAAGTTGTGTCTGCCATGTGTTTAATCGTGGTTTGAGGTTTCCCATTGGGCCTGTATATGATTGCGCCACTTGAATTGCGTGCATTCACGGTTATTCCCCATTCCTTGGGACCCTTTGGCATTTTGAGTGCTGACAAAGCATCATCAGCACGTTTGGAATGTGTGCGTGCATTGTCAAAGACCAAGACATGATTGTCATGGGGATAATGCTCCTTCAAGATCTCCATTGCTGTTGTCACCTGTTTGATCACATCATCGTTCGTGAAATATCCATCCCGGTTACTGCCTGGCCTGAGTGTGACCCGAGCTGTCCAATCACCACCTTTCAGCCACCCATAATCAGCTGAGACGAAATCAGCCACCATAACAGAAGCACCTTCACCCTTAGCATAGGGTTTTGCTGTTTTGGAGTTATGAACCCAACGGACCTTCCGACGATCATGAGCGTAGAAGATGGATTCATCATGAAACCAGACAACAGTGCGTGGACCCTCAGTTGAATCAATCACCTCTTCCCCCTTTTCATCCCATTTCCTCATTGTCATCCCATATTCAGCCATTGCAGGAAGAAACACATGCTGCCGATATCGGATGACATCTTCTCGCTCATGACCATCTGAATATTGTCCCTTCTTTTCCCTCTGCCAGTGGTACCCCATCACTTTTAACCATCGTTGTGCTGTTCGGACAGATATTGGTTTCTTTCGGCTCAAGCGCTCACACATCTCTGGAGTATTTAGAAATTGAACAATGTCCAATGCCGAGATGTATGGACCAAGGCTACGGAGGTGAGCCTCGATTTCGTGCCTAAGATCCTCATCCGTCACAAGTATTGATTCCTTCCATTTTCCATAGGGGTTCATTGGAATGTCGTCGGAATCAACCATGAAAGCGCGACACCACTCACGCAACCTTTTTGCATATGAGGGCCCACGGTCCCAAGAGGTTGCCACAAACTCTGAAGCACAAATCCAGCCTATGTCCAGCACCAAACCTGCATGGTCAGAACTATACACTCGCAGCAATTGGAGCATTTGTTCAAGTCTCATGCGTGTTAAGTCATCAAAATTTGATTTTTTATGACCAGGGCCATTCCGGCGGGGTCGAACAATTTCACTGAGCCTTTCAGCAGATTCTTTTGCAGCCTCTCTGGATGGAGCGGCAACGAATGAGTGGGAGTGATACTGAGTTGGCAAAGGATCTTTGGGGTAAGTCTCTGATGTGATGGGGATGGGTGTTTCGGATGGGTTGATGGGAGTGTCTGGATAGGGAGTACTGGTGCGCGTTGATTCTGAGGCATCATCTGTTCCAGGATTGATGTTATCTGGAGTTGGGTGATTGGAACCATTGAGATCTTGGCTAGTTATTTCACGCATACTCAGCAGAGAGTCATCAGAGTCGGCATCCGAGTCGCTGACAACAATCGGGTCTGGGGTACTGGAGTTGGATTTGTGGGGAGGGCGAAAGAAATCATGTATGGTGCGTTTTTTTTGGTCAGCTTTGGTTTTCTTAGCCATCTCTTGCACTTTCTGCATAACAATGCGTTGTTTGGCAGCATGACGGCGTCGGGTCCGCTCTGAAGGAGTCCCGTTGATTGTTGTTCCGGCATACTGAACCTTATTCCCCACAATCACACCCCGCTCATGTATTAGATGGGATAGGACCTTTTGAGCCTGACACATGCGCTCAAACAGCGGGATTTTTGATAGCCGTTCAGAGGTGTTGTCGGAGTTTTCATCCAAATCATCGGCATCAAACTCGCTCTGATCACTGTCACTTTCCAGCTCAATGTCGAAATCACAAACATCGGAGTCACTGCAACCCAAGGTGTTGTTTTCGGTGGGAATGGACAAGTGTATCACAGCAGGAGTGCATCGATGCGCGGGTTCAGGTGCATTACTGGCCAGTTTTCTCTGAAAAAAAAATCAGAAATAATGGATTTTTTGACTAGATAGCACATCACCTTCTTGGAGTACTCTCCAAGGTTATTTGCGCGACGGCGCTTTCTCTGTACCGGCATGAACACGATGTATGGAGGGAAAAGGGAATGAACAAAGTGGTTTCCTTTTTTGGATTCGGCAGTTTCCTCAATTTAATTATACTCAGCCCATTGCGGCCAACCTGAAGTCCGTTCATTTTTTTTAATTGCAGAATTCACATCGGGGTGGAAAGATATTCTTGATTCTGATGCTCAGAAGTATTTTGCTCCTCATTTGACAATAACAATAAATATTTAAATTTGCACACCGAGAAGTCATAAAGTGGTATCATTTCTACAATTTCTCAGTTCTACATTTGCCTCAAAAGTGCAGTATCAGGGATGAGGTGGGGTGCGAGTTGTGCCATGATTTGCTTCCGGATAGTGACGACTTATGAACGTCGTCTATCTTACCTTAGCAGAGATTTGGTGGGGTAGAGTTGGGAGGAATGGAAGGTGAGGTCAGATCCAAAGGTGGGGATCGGAGTGGACAGGGATAGGGGTAAGACTCCAGAGGTGGTGGAGAAGGTTCCAGGAGTCAAATTGGGACTGGGTATTTGTGGATATGACAGCTGGGCACTATGCCATCACCTCCACCCCTTCTGAGCCATCTCTGACAGTGAAGTGGGACTCTGGAGTTAGTGGAGTTCTGGGAGTCAGGTCAGGATCTGGTATGTATGGATATGACACTATTCTTCTTCATGGAAAGTCATTGTTAGAACAGGCAGTCTTGGACAGTTCCGGAATGGGATTGGAGACTTAGCAAGGAGGGACCTTGGCCTCAGTGACTCAAGCAGAGCGCTGTGCTGTCAAGGGTTAAGTCTCTAGGGAGCAATCAAGTTGATTACTGACTGAGGTACAAATGAGTATGTACATCATCTATATATAAAGGAGAGATGGGAGCACAAAGAACAAAGGGGGTCCAAAATGGAACAAAGGTGTCTGAATGGAGACAAAGGGAAGTTCGGGTTGGGAACTACACCAAGGGTCAAGGATTAGACTCTATGGTGCATCTGAAAGGAGGTAGGGAGGGGCAGGAGGACGAGAGGAAGTAGGGTGGATGACTAACTGGCTAAAGAGAAGGAAGCAGTAGTCCAAATATGGGTGAGGGAGTAATGTGAAGTATACATTAAAGCAGCAAAGGGGCCAAGGTAGATCCATGAAGCTTGGAGGCAATGGAGCTTATGGAGGCAGGATTGACAGTCCAAGGAATATTGTTAGAGACTGGATGTGGGACGAGGGAGATGTCCCCATGGTGGAGGGCTTCAGCCTCAGCGACTTAGACCCCTAGTTACACGTCCGTGCCCTAATTTACTAACTGGCAGTGAGAACTAAAAGGGGGATAACTCTAGTCAATTTTATCACTAGGGTGTAACCTATCTACAAGTTATGTATATATAGTTACATAGAGGGTGGGCCTGTGAATGGTGGGGTTGAGTGGAGTGGAGCTAATGGAGTTACATGTTAGCCGACTGAATATTACTGATGAGTCAGGTTATGGGGTTAGCGGAATGGCGGGCTATAACCCAGAAATGGAAAGGAGGGATAGGCCTGAAGGTAGGCTTGCAGGGCAAGCAAGTAAATTGCCCAGCGGGGGCAGGAGTGTGCTAGCAGACATCAGAGCTGTCTGGAGGCCTTTGGGAATCTGTACTTAGGGAGGCATAGGTAATATATTGGATTGAGGGGGTGGTGACCATTGAGGGAGTTGGAGGTGATTGTGGAATACAGAGGCTCCAAGGTTAGTGATGAAGGAGCAGAGGTAATCTGGAAGGATCAGAGTTAGTGGAGGATGATGGCCATAGATGGATATGACAAATATTGGCAATGGTGTTTACATGAAATGAGGTCACCAATGCAATGGCCTCAAGCCAGGGTGATGTCAAAGTCCAAGGTCAGGACCAAGATGGGATCTCAGAGCAGTGGCACAGGGAGTGGTAGTTACAGTCACAGAGTATGGGTTTCTGTTGTCTATTCAATGGTAAGGACCTGTTTTGGCATTTGCCTTTACAGGTCATATGACTAGTTTCTATCTAATATAAAAGTTACAATGGTCAAGGGAAGTCCCTTGAAATTCAACAATTCCCCCAGCCAGCACCAAAACCCAGTGGGGAAGCTTGGCATGGGGTTTGGGTAGAGAAATAAAGGAAAACAATAAGGAGGCATACCTGGTTCCACCTGCTTGCAACCATGGACCATAAGATTCTCGTCCATTCCTATAACAAGACTGGTATGGGGGGAGGAGTGTCTGAGGAGGCAGAGGTGCAAGAGGAGCAAGAGAGGAGGAGAGGGGAGGAAGCTGATGTTGAGTTTGAGTGTTTGAGGTTTGTGTTGTTTTGCTGTAAGTGCCACTCTGTAAATAAGGGATCTCCCCCAGATGTCAAGCTCAGGGGACATGCTCCCCTTGAGTCACTGAGGCCACAATCCCACCCTGCTAACCCTGAACAGCACTTCCAGATGCGCTGCATATTTCCACCTGCACATCTGCATGCATGCTCCAACAGACCTCTGCCAGTACCTCCAATCCCTGACTCTGACAGTAAATCCTGCCCAACTCTGACATTGATCTCCTTCATGCACCATAGGTTTCTGTCAGACTACTGCCATTTCCTGCTATTTCTTTTATTCATGTGTGGTCACCATATGTTAATGAGAACATTCATCAAGGCCTCTGTGTCAGAGACCAGGTTTGGGACAAACAATGATGTCCCTGTGAATGGAGGGCTTTGGCCTCAGTGACTTATGCCAGGAGCACTGTGCCTAGTAACGTGTTGGTGCCCTAATTTATGGACTGAGAGGGAACTCTAGAAGAGGGGGAAAACTCTAGTTGATTTTATCACTAAGGTGTAACGTATCTACAGGTTAGGTATATATAGTTACAGAGGGAGTCTAGAAGGCAGGCCCATAAATGGCAGGGGCTGGGTGGAGTGAAGCTAATGGAGTTACAGGTTAGCCAACTGAGTATTACCAATGACTCAGGTTATGGGGTTTAACAGATTGGTGGGTTATAACCCAGAAGCAGAATGGAGTGATTGGCCCAAAGGTAGACTTGCAGGGCAGGCAACTAAATTGCCCAGCGAGGTGGGGGTGTGCTTGCAGACGTTAGAGCTGTCTGGAGGCCTTCAGGGTTCCATACTTAGGGATGTGTAGGTAATATATTGAAATGAGGGGGTGGTGACCATTGGGGGAGTTGGAGGGGATTGCAGAAACTGGAGGCTCTGAGGTTAGTGACGAAGGAGTGGAGGTGGTGGAAGGTGATGGCTGTGGATGGATATGACACTCTGCCACACTAAATGCAACAAAGAAATACTGCAACATGAAATACAAAATGGAGATAGGAATAAAACAGTTCTATCTAGAACTGTCCAAAGCAGCATCCCAGATGGTGACACTGCTGTACCAGGCATCATTCATTGCCAAGTTTCTAAACAACATTCCCCTTGAATGGAAGAGGGAAATGATTGCTCATGACAGGACCAGAGTGGACTTCTCCTCAAATGAGGAGATGATAAGAGCAATATCTCATGTAGATGAGATAATCGACAGGCTTCAGCATATAAATCAGGTACTACACCCAAACAACCACCACCATGACCACAAGCCATAGTAGAACCTGTCAGGGACGGTACAGGAGAGGTGGGGGTAGCGGCCTGGGTGGCAGTGGAGTGATGGGAATGTATGGCGAACTCGGGCTCATGTCCCTGTCTGGCTTCTTAGGCTGAAGCAGTAATGATTGTTATTAGGATGAAAGGCTAAACTAAACTAAACTGAGCTAGAGTAAGGTACTTGCCTGAAGCAGTAATGAGAAGAAGGCTACTTCTTCGGTTCTGCTTTGGCTCAGTTTATATACAGGCAGGAGTGGGTCACATGGGGGGTGGCATGTCAGCCCAGGTGGAGCCGGGCTATTGTGGATGGCTCTGTGGGCGATCCCGAGTGTCAGAGGGGAGAAGTACAAATGAGGATGCACGGTGTATCCAGTGGTGCAGTACCCACATGGAGTACTCGGCATCAGATGCGTCTGTGCTACATGGGTAAGAGGAGAGGTCGTCCATATAAAGAAAGAAAGGAAGAAAGAAAGGGAAAGAGGAGCAATGGGAGGGTGCAGTGTGGAGCGGAGCGGTGTGCCTTGACATCACCCCCTCTTTGAGCCGCTTTGCCTTGAAGTGGCTAGGGGGTTTTCTCACTCTCTGCCCAGGGTGTCTGGGTGTGCTCTGTGGAACTCCTCGATCCTGTCACGCACATTGGCCAGGTTGTTGCGAGGGAGCCACTCATTTTCAGAGTTTGGCCAGCCTGTGAACTTCACCAGATACCAGAGCTTCCTGCAGTGCCAGTGGGAGTTGAGGGCCTTCTGGACTTCGTATTCTTCTCCTCCGTCTACGATGGCGGGGCCTGGGCAGGGGTTGGTGGGTTGTTCGGCGATCCCATCTGGGTGGTAGGGCCAGATGTTCATTACCGATACCACTGGGTGGACTCCCCTTTGTCGCGCTGTGAGCTGGAGTTTGATGGTGGTGGGGGATATGACCTTGAGGATTTTGAAGGGGCCGGTCCATTTGTGGTCTAGCTTCTTGGTAGGGCAGTCCATGGTGTGGTTTTGGGTGCTGAGCCAGACTTGATCGCCTTCTTTGTACTCGGGCACTACTTCTCGGTTTCGGTCATAGTAGCAGGCCATCTCTTCTGCTGCGTGCTCTAGTGCTGCCTTCGCCTCTTCCTGCATTTTCATCAGTCTCGAGGTGAACATGTCTGTGGCTTCGACTTCTGATGCACAAGGGGGTTCCATCCCCATCCTGGGGTGTTGGCTGGTGTCAAGCTTGAAGGGGGTGCGGCGGGTCAAGGCATGGATGCAGTTATTATGGGAGAACTCTGCTAGCGGGAGCCAGTCCACCCAGTCATCCTGGCAGTGGTTAACAAACACTCAGAGGTAGGCTTCTATCTCCTGGTTTACCTGCTCCATCCGTCCATCCGTCTGCAGGTGGTAAGGTGCCGAAGGGGTCAGCTTGACCACTAGTAGGGCCGCTAGCTCTTTGGAGAACTGAGAGACAAAGGCA